GTGTTAAAAAGGTAAGAAGTAAAAAGAGGTTCAAATGTCTTAATATCTAAGATCTGGTAGGAACAGTTAGACTCACCTCCTGTCTGCCTCCTGGCATCCGATGATGATCGGTCTGGTTACATTTAGTTGAAAATTCATCTTTCTTTACAGTCTAAAATAAGAGAATACAGAGACAAATAATAGTTTACAGGAACCCACCTTAAACTAAGAGTATTTTCAAGAGTCAAAACAATTTCCTGTATATAAGGTTAATAAGAGTTAATCTTTAGAGTTTCTTTCAGGTTTTTACCTGGATGTCTCCTTTGTGGGGACCTTTATGTCCATACATACACTCCACAGTGGCCTTTTTGCTTTCCAGCAGGTGAATGCGAAAAAGTGGTCGCCTTCTCATCGGATCTTCCACACGGGGATCATGAGGTGGTAGATACATCCAGCCAATTATGAATAAACCATCCACCTATGTGAAACAGTGGTCGAGGAATTTATCTTAACTTTAAAAAACAACAACTAATAAATACACAAACTGTCACAAAATGGTTTTATCTTTTCATTTGGCAGACGATTAACTCTACTGCGGTTTCCTCGTCTTACTGAGAAATACTAACCACAACGTTGAGCAATCCACCGTAAGGTCCGATGTCAGGCTGCCAAAGACCTAGAATGTGTCTATATGGGTGAAGCACTGCAACAGAAGAGCACAAAAACACCACATTGTTATCGGTTCCATCAGCACCGCACTAGTTAATCACCAGAGCATTAAAGGTATACTGGAGGTTTTTCGCAAATTTTTTAAAACACCCACCCTCTGCACTTAAAAAAAAAAAAAAAAAGTGCACATGCACAAACCTGTACCCGCTCCCAATAGGGAATGTCTAATAAACGTGTGCGAGAGCATGCACGAAACCATTCCTCCTAGTGCACGCTCTGTTTAAAAGCGTGTGACGCTATTCTACTCGTCCACAAATTTCTGTCTGCTGCTGTTCTGTAACATCAGCATACCGTGTCAGGCCAGCATACCCATAATCGATATGCATGCAAAAGACTTCACATTTCCATATGTCTGAGTGGAAGAAAGTCTACTAGGCTACTTTATTAATTCGTGATATGATACACAAAAAGTTATAGTTGAAGGTAAACACACAAACTAACCAGAAAAACTTACTGAAAGTCAAGTAAGCTAGTTTATTAATGCGTGACGTAATAAAACGTTTTAGTCGGAGGTAAACAGAGTTTAAAGCTAAACTGCTTTAAACATAGACAGCCTTGCTTTCTGTGTTCGCTACTTCACACCCTGACGTAGCAGCTAACCTGTCAGATTGTCATACAACAGGTAATTGTACGCTGATCTTGTCAGGCTGATCTGCAAATGTGACAGAAGTTGTTTAAATGTCCCTTTCTGCATGCGTTCGCATGCGTATTACTATGTGTATGCTGATCTGACAGAACACCGCCCTACTCGCAGATGGCTGCACTCTCGAAGGTGCACAGGCCAATCAGGAGGAGGCTCACAGAAGAGGTACGTCCCTGCCCCATCTGTCAAAACGCGCTTTGCTTCGCGTGAGGAGAAAATCAGCGTGAGTACAGGGCGCGTTGGGCGATGGGTGCGCCTGCAAAGGGATTTTCTCCCCCGAAAGCTGAAGTTCCTCCTGCATGTGGGATATTTTCCGTGATGGTTGATGAACTCATGTTTCAAAGTGGTTTAATATACTTGCAAGTATGTTTATTTTGCTCTCGGACGTTTTGACATAAATGTGACAAGATAAACTTTTATTTTTTGATAAAGCACAGAAATATTACTTGTTTGAAAAGCCCTCATCTAAAAACTTGTAGACCGTTTTAAAAGGCAGGTGTGGGCTAGCTTCTTCACATCTGGCAAAAAGAGGTTAAATATGGATCTGGAATTATGCTAGAAGCTTCTTTTCATAAAAGGTGTGCAGTCCATGTGCAACATGCTGAGGGATATGCAAATATTTAAGACTGTATGTAGAGTTTTAACCATATGTGGATTAGATAAAAGCCACAATAAACCAAGCAAATTTTAGGCTTTCATAGAAGTCGTTTGTTGAACAAACAAGTTTTAAGTAAATCATTAAGAGTGAAGGCTAAATCTAAAATTCATGATGTGAGTACTGAAGCTTTTAGTTTGCACTCCGTGTTCAAGATAGCTGAGTCGCAAAACAGCACAAGTAGAAAACCAAAGACCTGGCTCCCCTTTTGGTAGCTAGAAGGCAGCATAAAGCCAAGTGAGCCATCGTCACAGAATCTACAGCAGTGCTTCAACTGCCAGTCTTTTTAATACTGTTACACACAACCCGTCATGCTGCAGCAATCCACATACAGTGCGTGTACACGTCTTTATAGTCCATGTGCTCGTAGTCGGGCAGGAGTTTCATAAAGCGCCCAGACTTCACCCGTGGGATGACACCTGTACAAGCAAAACACAGGCATGTATAGAACAGCAAGACAACCAGGGTGGGTTCAGCCCAGGGCAGCGCTCGCATGATAACTGGCAAAAACAGCTCCTTATTAGAGAAAAAAAAAAAACGGAGAATATGTTTGATATTTCTGATTTCATACAAATGAGGAACAGATTAGGGACAAGGTTAGCTTTCTATAAACGTAACTCATCGGACGGTTAGTGGGACAGAAAAAACACAAACGTGCTTTATATTAAAATATAGCTTTCCCGTTCCATTTAATCTAAGAAGCTATTTTGCATGAATAGAATGAAAAGGTGTTAAATGAATGGAATGTTCCAGAGGGTTTCATAAAGGAAAAAAGCGGTGAAACGAACGTTTAACATAAAGGTCTTGGCTGGTAACTCCTCCTGCTTCCATCTTTCTCAGATCCTCCTTCATTCCAAACTCTGCAAAACAAAAACAACATTAATTCATTGTGATATTAATCAGAAAATCATGTCAAAATATACAAAAGAGCAGACATTATAATCCAAACATTTCCACACTCTACGGATCTGCACGGAACCCAATGAGTAGCCAAAATAGTGTTGTCAACAAACTCAAATAATGGTCGAGTAATGTTCTAACTATAAAACAGGGTCAGCTGAACAAAGTATGTGTGGGGCAGCCAAAGGAGACCAGCAGCCTGAGGTCATAGATCAGGACTTACAGCTAAGAGAAATTATCTAAAATGTCCAGCTATCAACCAGATTTTATTGTGTTCATCTGGAGAAATTACTGTACAAAAAGGTCTAAATGCAACAATAGAATAATGCACCAGCAAGAAGGCTATTAATGCATCTAAAAAGCAGGAAAAAGGAACTAGATAGATTAAAGCTGCAAGCGGCGTTGGAAGGTTATTGCTACCACGGGAGCCGAGCAACCGCAGCATCATTGCTTCTTCCTAGCCAGAAAAACAAGTTCCACACTTCACCATTAAAATAAAAGCTGTTACATAAGGCTGAATTATAATTAGAGAGAGTTGTTTGATAAGTGGTTTCATAACAGGAGCGATAGTTCTGTGCATGTTATGGTAATTGGATTTTCTGACTAGAATAAACTAATGAAAAAACAAAAAACAAAGAATTTTTGTTTCTAAGATTTTTCTGTTGCCGTATAAAGCCTTAGATTGAAATTCAGGTAAATGCAGATGAGCAAAAAATTGGGACTTTTTAAATTCTATTTTAAACAAATATTTTGAGTGGGAAAAAAACAAACAAAAACTCACACTAAATAGCATTTTTCACCCACTCACTTCACCTTGGTTTGGAAGGAAAGTGATTTATCCATGGATGTAGCCACCTAATATGGTAATGGTCTCACATTTCCACACATGCCAATAAATAAATGCTAAATGTGTTTAAATTAGGGCTGCAAATAACGATTGTTTTGCAAATCGATTAATCAATTAATTATTTTTTCAATTAACAGGTTTTTATAATTTTTAGCAAAATTTTTACATATTTTTTTACAAATTTGAAAAAAT